CTCAGAGACAGACTAAAAATATAATGTGGAAATCAAAGGTCCTCTTAGTGGGCCAAGAGACGTTTAAAATTAAGGCCACGGTGCTCTGCCTTATGGGAGTTTCAGCAAAGCCGTTACTGTCTTCCGGCATCCAAATAAACCCATGGCAAATTAGGGTGCTCACACGGAATGCCTTTTGCAGCACTGGAAGAAGCTGCCTCATCATTCAGCCTAGCAACATATTCTGTGCTGTTTATGATTTGTCAATACAATAAAGTCATACTAAAGGCAGACCCTCCAAGTGTCCCTGTTTTCCAGAGACATCCCTGATTTAGAGAAGCAGTCCTGGTTTCTGATTATATCCCGGAATGTCCGGCTTTTCCTTAGCATGTTCCTATTTTCACTGGAGAAATGTTGGAGGGTATCAGACCCTCGAGCTGTCTGAAGGCAATTCTGTATAGGAATTTATTTATTTTTAATGTTTAATTATGTTTTTATATATGTTGGAAGCCGCCCTTACCCAATAAGATAGGGTTGCCATATTTCAAAAAGAAAAAAACAGGGTGCTATTTTTAGAAAGACCCCAAAATTGAGCTTTTTAAAAAAACTCGTGTCATCAGGAGGAGCCACATCATCGGGAGGATGATGGCACAGCATCAAATCGGACTCTTGAGTGCGAGTGACAAGGCCACGTGGCCATTGAAGCTGCGTTGCACTCGGCTTGGTGGTTTGGCCTCCTCAGTCCCCTCAATATTTGGGGGGCTGAGCCCCTTGCTAAGAAATATTAAGGGGGCTGACGGCACTTCCACGCCTCAGAGTTGGCACTCCTGCATCTCCGCTGGCTAATATAAGAGCTTCATAACTAAGAGTTAGTCAGCCTGAGTTAGGTTTTATCCTTCCTCCCTTCCAACCTCTTCCCCTTTTATTTTGTGTCTGTTTAGATCAGGGGCTGTCAACCTGGTCCCTACCGCCCACTAGCGGGTGTTTCAGAATTCTAGGTGGGCGGTAGGGGGTTCTACAGCACAAGCTGAATCCTCCTTCCATCGAACACTGTGGGCGGTAAGGAAATTTTACCATCAAGAAAGATGCATTAGTGGGCATACTGGGCCCATCACCTCCTGGCAAATAGAAGGGGAAGAAATGGAGGCAGTGAGAGATTTTACTTTCTTGGGCTCCATGATCACTGCACATGGTGACAGCAGCCACGAAATTAAAGGCACCTGGTTCTTGGGAGAAAAGCAATGACAAACCTAGACAGCATCTTAAAAAGCAGAGACATCACCTTGCCAACAAAGGTCCGTATAGTTAAAGCCATGGTTTTCCCAGTAGTGATGTATGGAAGTGAGACCTGGACCATAAAGAAGGCTGATCGCCGAAGAATTGATGTTTTTGAATTATGGTCTGGAGGAGACTCTTGAGAGTCCCATGGACTGCAAGAAGATCAAACCTACCCATTCTTAAGGAAATGAGCCCTGAATGCTCACTGGAAGGACAGATCAGATTGTGAAGCTGAGGCTCTAATACTTTGGCCACCTCATGAGAAGAGAAGACTCCCTGGAAAAGACCCTGATGTTGGGAAAGATAGAGGGCACAAGGAGAAGGGGACGACAAAGGATGAGATGGTTAGACAGTGTTCTCGAAGCTACCAGCATGAGTCTGACCAAACTGCAGGAGGCAGTGGAAGACAGGAGTGCCTGGCTTGCTCTGGTCCATGGGGTCATGAAGAGTCGGACACGACTAAACGACTAAACAACAACAATAAGGTAGAAAAAGGTTGACTACCCCTAGTTTAGTCCATGTGCCTGACACCAGAAAATGGCTTATGAAGGATCTCTGTATGGCAGCCTTTTTTGGCTGAAGACCAGGATCAAAATGCTTCAAAATAAATAAAGGTATCGTGCGTTATATGCCCTCTGCAGTACTGCCGCTAGTTAAGAAAATGAATTAATTCAGACAGACAATGACAATGTATGTCTAAAGGCCTTTAAAAAAAGAACTTGATAGTGTGAATGGAAGAATCCAATACAATCACATTCTCTTCTCCCCCACCCCCTTCCCAAGAATGGCATCTACAGAGAGGTGGCAAATAGTCCAGAGAGCAGATAAAAGATAATTTAACAAGAAGCAAATTGTAAAGGGTGACAAAGTGTTATTTCCATAATAAGCTTATCTGAGCAAACTTTCCCAGAGCCTTAGTGAGTTCCTGAACAGGGTGTGGATTTGGCAATAGTAAAGAAACAGGCCCCACAAAGAATGCCTGTTGAGCTAATGAATGCTTCTGAAGTGGTTGACTTTCATTTCTCTGGCTTGGATCGCTGCCACCTTTACTCTCATGTCAGACTTTGCTTAATTGGCAAATATGTCTTCAAAGTCCTGTAGACCCTTCCACATTGCTCCCTCGGCTGTTAATGTTTAATTGTGATTTGTTAAAGGCATACTAGCAGTTGATAAAAACTAAGAGTCTGGGTGCTTTATTGCCCTTATAGACCAGCAAGGACATGGCATATCCCATTCTTTGGCAAACATGGGCATTTTTTAAAGAGAGAAGCCAAGGTTGAAAGTGACAAATTTCTTCTGTTTGGTGCAATGAAATATTAAAAAGTCTTCCCTTGAGGAACATTATAACTACATATTTTCATTGAGTCCTATCAGCCGGCCTTGAGAAAGATTAAGACAATGTTTCCAGTAGCGCATACGCTCCAATATTTCTCTGATTAAATTGGGACGTCAATAATAATAATAATAATAATAATAATAATAATAATAATAATACCCTGCCCATCTGACTGGGTTGCCCCAGACACTCTGGGCAACTTCCAACATATATAAAAACATAATAAAACATTAAACATTAAAAAAAACTACCCTATACCGAGGAACCTGTTTTCGAGTGTCTCGGAAGCTGAACGATTCGAAAACCAAATGCCGAAAACCTGGAAGTGAATGCTTCTGTTTCCGAACGTGCCTCGGAAATTCAATAAACCATTTCCATTCCATTTATTAAAAGTTTGTTATCTTGATTTCTTATTTTTCAAGTAAGTTTCGCCATTTCTGCATATTCCATAAGTTTTTGTATCCATTCTTCTTTCATTGGGACTTCTTTTTCTTTCCATTTTTGGGCAAATAACATTCTTGCTGCTGTGGTCGGATACATGAATAAATTTCTATACTGTTTAGGTCGTTCTACCCCTATAACTAGGAGTAGTTACTAGTTCTTAAACCAATTTTATATCTGTGTTCTCACCAGCCTTAGCAATTCTATTTCCATTATTTTTCCTAGTGTTGTTTCTCCCTCCTCTCTAGTTTACTACACAGTTGTTGCTTTTTCATATACCAGAAGAAGAGTATCCTGCATCTTTTTCAACAGCTACTTAAATCTAACTGGGGCAGAAGAATGTGACAATGGCCCGGTATGATTTCCAATTCTCGTTTTGAGGTAAACCATAGTTTACCCAAACTAGACACAACAGCAAACAATGGTTTTCTTATACCAGGAAGTGAGGGAGGGAGCAGGTGATGGAAAAGGGAGCAGCTGAACCTGAAGCCTCCTCCCCAAAGCCATATCATTGTTTGGCCATTATATCTGAAGCTGAACTGGCCCAGGATGTTGCCTTTTTTCAAAGACAACACATCTATAAAGTAAAAGGTAAACGTAAAAGTAAAGTACCCCTGGACGGTTAAGTCCATTAAAGGCAACTATGGGGTGCGGCACTCATCTTGCTTTTCAGGCCAAGGGAGCTGGCGTTTGTCCACAGACAGCTTTTCCAGGTCATGTGGCCAGCATGACTAAACTGCTTCTGGAGCAATGGGACGCCGTGATGGAAGCCAGAGCGCACAGAAACGCCGTTTACCTTCCCACCGCAATGGTACCTATTTATCTTCTTGCAGTGGTGTGCTTTTGAACTGCTAGGTTGGCAGAAGATGGGACAGAGCAACAGTAGCTCAGCCCATCGCATGGATTTGAACCACCAACCTTCCAATCGGCAAGCCCAAGAGGCCCAGTGGTTTAGAGACCACAGTGCCACCCATGTCCCTCAATCTATAAAGTAATATAATAGAATCATAACAATCATAGAATCATAGACTTGGAAGGGACCCAGGTGTCATCTTGTCATTGCTGGATAGCCAGAAAAAGTATTACTCTTCTTGTTATATCATAGAGCTTAGTTTCATGTCATCCCAAGCCATGATCTCCCAACAGACGAAAGGTATAAGGTAATACAAATCATTATGGATTGTCACCTATCATACATTGCCTGTGAGCCCAGCCATTGACATCCTCAAAATTTAAAACAATGTGGATTTCCACTTCACTTTGGGGTTGGTCTGAATAAAAAAGGTTTAGACAAATGTAAAACTACTCCCCACCCCCCGCCCAATAGCTCATTCATAGGGCTTTTGAACTAGAACTTCCATAGTCAAAACAAGCCAGATCCATGACTGGGAATAACAGCGTTTCTTTCTCACAAAATCAGCAGCTTTTCAGCTGCAAGAAATTACCAGGATTTCCAAAGACTTTGACTGAAACAAAAACACTAATAAAATGATTAACAGATTCCCCCTCCCCTTGGCCTGTTTAACACTCAGCACCTTTCCTTAGCTTTCAGCTTAATTTCATTGCTTCATTTATTTTTACAAGGTCTGTTCGAGAATAGCTTGGTTTTTTATTTTTATTTTTTATTTTTTTATTTTTTTTAAAAAACCACCTAGTTTACAGGGAGGCCTAGCTGAGGAAATCTGATTATACCACGGTGGAAAGGCCGATGTCAATATCACTCCACAGAAAATAATGGCTTCTTGCACACAACTGACAAATGCCATTGTTTTTGTCTCATGCCGGGAACGCCGCAACTTCCTCTTTTTGTGCAGCAAAACGCATGCTGGAAATCTTCCTTAAGTCCAAAGTATAATTCTTTTTGTTAGCACAAGCCATTTAGCAGAGTCAGGGGTTCCCTTTTGTATTGCTAGTATATAGAATTATAGACTTGCAAAGTTGGAAGGTTCCCTAAGGACTTTGCAGCTGTCCCATCCGGGGTACGAACCTGCAACCTTGGTGTTATCAGCACCATGCTCTAACCAACTGAGCTATCCAGGACTTTCATGTTTAGGTCTGATATACGGTAATAAATGCAAAGGTCACATACACACCGTAATTTAAAGCACTCTTATACCACTTTAATATTCATCCTCCCCACCCCCATCCCAAGAACTGTATTTGGCTAATGGCTGTGAGATTTGTTAGAACACGTTAAATAAACTAGAGTTCCCAGGGTTCTTTGGGGGAAGCCAAGACTGTGCATCCCTCCTTCTCTCAGCCAACAGCTGCAGAAGAGCCCACTTCCTCACTGCTGTGAATTGACAGCTCTACCTGGGCAGACCTCCAGGTGCTTGTGGGTAAAGCAGGTGTGTTATGAGGGCTTGGTTTTGATATGTGTCTGGGACAGGCTCAGCCTAGAGGTACCACATCTGCAGGGTGTGCAGAAATGCACTACACTGCACCCAGCGGCGTAGCGTGGGTTGTCAGCACCCGGGGCAAGGCAAGTAATTTGCGCCCCCTAACCCGGGGCAAGGCAAGTAATTTGCGCCCCCTAACCCCTAACCTGCCGCCGCTGCCAGCTACTTCTTGCTGCTGCCTGGGCTGGTCTGGTGTGGTTCTCTCCCACGCTCAGCACTGCGCTGGGCGGCCGCTGCACTGTCCCTCCCCCAGATAGTCCCTCGCTCTCTCTCCGCACCGCATGCCTGGCACCCACCCCCTCCACAGTGGGCGGCGACCCAGCGGCTCGGATTGGATTCGCACAGCCAGCACTGCAGTGAGAGAGAGAGAGAGTGAGCCAGGTAGGGGCAGAGAGCTGCGAGTGCGAGCACGCCCCCCCAGATGTTGCGCCCGGTGCGGCCGGCCCCCCCTGCACCCCCCACGCTACGCCACTGACTGCACCAACAGGAATTGCACAACTCCTGCGTAGCTTTTGTGTTGATCCAAGTAGCTTGGCCTGATCGGGCAAACACATTTCTTCCTCAGCTTCATCTGATCTGAAGACAAGTCAAGGTAGTATTTTCTGGATTGCATCCTTGAAACACATGCTTATACAGTGTCTGGTATTGTCAATTTTTTTTGGGGGGGGAGCAATGGTATTAATAACGGTATTATAAATTTGCATTGTAATAATGAGGTTATTATTGGGCTGTAATTGAAAACTAATTAAAATTATTATTTTAAAAAATTGGAAGAAAACATTAGGGTATATAAATATTATTGTGGGGAAAGAGCTAAAAATTCCAGAAGATAACATCATTTTAAATTATATACTGAAATAAAGGTAAAAGGGGGAAACGACCCCTAGGCGGTTAAGTCCATCAAAGGCAACTATGGGGTGCAGCACTCATCTCACTTCACAGTATATGGGGCCGGACAATCAGTCAACATAAATGGATTTTCTGTGCCCTCGCATCTGCAAAAAGACTGGTACATTGGAAGGACAAAAATATGCCCTCCCTTTGATCAATGGATAGACAAAATGATAACTCTTGCAACCCATGAAGGGATCATCTTAGGCGAAGATTATGCATGGACAAATTTAATGATATTTGGAATGTATTTGTCAAAACCATAGTGACACATGGATTAACGTACAGTTGAGGTAAACAATATGTTTAATGATGATGATGATGATAAGTCAAAGTAAGGTGAATGAGGTCCTCTGTGGTACCATTAAAGTGCAGCAAATGGTATTTATTTTATCCTTGTTAACAGAAATAATGTGGGATGCCTCATTCAAGGATTCGCTCCAGGGTTATCTCTGCCATCCACTTTCAACTTGTTACTGGGGGGGGAGGGGAACCCTAACTATATTTTTGTTATAGCAGAAGGCAGCATCTGGATTTCACTAGCTAAGTATCCAAAATTATGGCACCTTTGAAATTAGGACTGTCAGATCAAACTTTCAAAAATGAGGGGCAACATATTCCTCCCGTGGTGTTCCTTCTGTGGAGCTTTATGAAGTGGTAATGTTTTGAAATAAGAGCTATCCATATGTTTCTATGATGTTCTGGAAGAAGGAACAACCCTTTAAGATAAAGGTCATTACTTAAAATAGAAGACATCTGGCAGTCCTATTAGATACTTTCCTCTTGTGCATGAAATATTATTACAAACCAGACAAAACTCAAGGACAGGTTCCCAGGAGATCTGCACCTAAATCTCCACATTCCACACAGGAGTGTGTGTGTATGATGGGGTGGCAGGAAAGGGAGAGGTGTTGCTCCCGTAACTGAAATATAAAACCTTAACAGTTGTGTTGTGAATAAGATTGCTGCCTTTGCACAATTGACTTTTATTTCTTTGTGGAATTCAGAATGAAGGGTATATCAGAAACTGTGCCATCTGTCCCCAGACATTGGACTCCAACTCCCATAAGCCAGGTTGGCACCATTGGCGTTATTAGAGAACAAGGGAGGCGTTCATGGTGAGTTCTGGAACCTCTTTTTCTAGAAAAATAGCACTGCTAGTAGCAGGGATGGTGGGAGTTGGAGTCCAGCAACGTCTTAAGGAAAGGCACTGAAGCCACTTGTGAGCTTCTGGAGGCATCTATCTTGCCCGTCTTACATGTGAAAAGGAACCAGGGGTCTTAGTAGACCACAAGCTTAATGTGAGTCAACAGTGTGATGCAACAGCCCAAAAATGTGAATGCTATTCTAGGCTGCATCAACAGCAGTAAGGTAAAGGTAATGTCAGGAGCTGGGCAGAGAAGGAGGAGTGGTGGAAACTGCCTCCCCATCCTGACCCTTCCACGGAGGAGGAAGAGGAAGACAGTATAGATTTACAACAGGGGTTTGAGGGAGGTCACAGCTCAGAGGAAGAGGAGGGGGAAAGTTGGGAGATAATGGGAGAGGAGGAGCAGGCAGAGCTGGAGCAACAGCTGGCTAACACGTTGTCACTAGAAAGCATTCCAGACCCACCATCTCCCAGAACCATCTCCTTAGAAGTAGGAGAGCAAAGACAGAGGGCGTTTAGCAGCACCCGTAGAGGAGGTGATGATGATGACAAATGAGGAAGTGAGAGAGAAACGGGGTGGAGATCCACTCTGGACAATGCCGTTATCCAAGAGGCTGGGTTCTACAGCCTCTCTCTGTCAAGTTCGAAATAAAATGGGAAACTGTTCCTTGTCTTTATGCCTTCCTGGGCAACCAGGAGCCACTGACAGCACCATGACAGGTAAAAAGGTAAAGGACCCCTGGATGGTTAAGTCCAGTCAAAGGTAACTATGGGGTTGTGAAGCTCATCTCGCTTTCAGGCCAAGGGAGCCGGCATTTGTCCACAGGACAGCTTTCTGGGGCATGCGGCCAGCAGGACTAAACTGCTTCTGGTGCAACAGGACACCGTGACGAGTGCCAGAGTGCATGGAAACACAGTTTACCTTCCTGCCTCAGCAGTACCTATTTATCTACTTGCACTGGCATGCTTTCAAACTGCTAGGTTAGCAGAAGCTGGGACAGAGCAATGGGAGCTCACCCTGTTGCAGGGATTCGAACTGCCGACCTTTGAATAAGCAAGTCCAAGTGGTTCAGTAGTTTAGACCACAACGCCAGCTGCGTCCTGATCAAGGGTAGTCATATTGCCACTTTATTCTGCCTTGGTTAAATCACACGTGGAATCCTGTGTCCAGTTCTGGGCACCACAATTTAAGAAGGATACTGACGAGTTGGAATGTGTGCAGACGAGGGCAACCAAGAGTCTGGAAACCAAGCCTTCTGAGGAACAGTTGAGGGAGTTGGGTATATTTCAGCCTGGAAAAGAAGTGGCAAAGAAAATATATGATTGCTAAAGGGCTGTCGCATGGGAAATGGTGCAAGCTTGTATTCTCTTGCTCTGGACGGTAGGACCTGAACCAATACCTTCAAGTTACAAGAAAGGAGAGTCTGACTAAACACCAGGAAGAACTTTCTGACAATCAGAGCTGTTTGACAGTGGAACGGACTTCCTCAGAAAGCTGTGGACTCTCCATCCTTGGAGGTTTTAATGCAGAGTTTAGATGGCCATCTGTCATGGATGTTTAGCTGAGATTCCTGCATTGCAGGGGGGTTGGACTAGATGACCCTCGGGGTCCCTTCCAACTCTACAGTTCTATTATTCTTTCAGAAAGCATGTGTCAGGGAGCTTGACCTTTAAATACAAACTGATTCAGTTTCCTCTCCCATTCCTACCTGGAGAACAGGTGAGCAACCTCAGGCCTGGGCGGCTGAATGCAGCCCTTTCATGGTTCTAAATTCTTCAGGGGAGCTGGGGAGTGGATGGTTGAAAGTATGGGGCTGGGGATGTGTGAGAGCAGCCAAGACCCTCATCCCTTCCCTTGCGTGATGGTAATCATATATACATAGGGTAGTGGAGGAGAATGAGTGAATAGGGCTATGGTTTATATGTCTTTCTTGCTCGTTTTAATCTACAACTACAGTTTGCATCCATCTTTAACAGAAATCCATCATTTCGATTCTACCTCTCTGTGTGTGCTTTTCATAACAGGCCATTCAAACAGAGAAAGATAGGTCAAGAGCTATAGTGTTTGGTGAATGAGCAATTCAGAAAGTGCAAGGAAAGGACCACTGGAACGTGTGTTTTCTCAAAGCCACATTTGCTTTTGCAAGGCTACCAGGGAGAATAAAAAAATGCTCTGACGTACTGACTTATAAAAGGCACTTAAGCACGTTATAATCTAATCAGACGTGGAGGTTTAGATGGCTTGAAAAATACAAGGTTGGCCATTGTACGCTTGTGAAAGAATTACGAGCTGTGGTTTTCCTCAACGAAGTGAAAGGATGTCTTCCTCCATTCAGATTTCCCCACCAGGTCCAGCAAACAATCAGTCACCAGAAATTGTTTTTGGGATTTTTTAAGAAGAAGGGAGGGGGAAGAAAAGAAAATTCTTTAAAGAAGTTTCTCTTACTTTGGGCCCAGGGAGTAAACTGACCACAGCGTAGTCTCTCCTGAAGACGTGGTTTCCTCCGAACACACCGCTGTTCCTTCAGAGGACAATGCTGTTTTCATTAGAGCAATAGTCAGTTTAATCATACGCACACACAAAAATGTGTTCGGGGCTGATAAATTCCTTAAAAGGTACAGAAACCAATCTACAAACAGCATATGTAAACTCTTTCCCCTACAGCAAAACTGTGGTAAATATGCCTTCTCTGCATTCTGATGTATTGGGTGTATTGAGTAGCGATGCTGAATGGCAGGCAAAGAAAATATCCAAAGAAATGAAATATTAAATCTCGGATTTAATTGAGTTTGAGATGGTGATGACACACCCCAAAAGGCAGTTGGATATGCAGATTGGATGAGGGTGGGGGACTTGTGGTATAGAGACCTGGATGTTGCTAGCCCATAGGCAGCAAGGAGCCTCAGTGGGTGCAATCGAGTGAAAGCTCATTGCTGGAAATCAATAAGAAATCAGTCTTAAGCTCAGTGGAGTTTAGAAAGTGAGCTGCTGTTAAGCTCGTTCCATAGTTTTCCATAGGATTTTCCGGTGGACAGGCTACAATCCTGTATCCATTTCCTTGGAACTAAGCCGCACTGAAGTCAATTGACCGTCCTGGATAGCTCAGTTGTTTAGAGTGTGGTGCTGATAATACAAAGGTTGCAGGTTCGATCCCCGGATGGGACAGTTGCAAAGTCCTTCATTGCCCCGGGTTGGACCAGATGATCCTCAGGGTCCCTTCCAACTCTACAATTCTATAATTCAATGAGATTCACTTTTGCAGAGATTTGTACAAGACTCTCCCCCCCCTCCAAATCATGCCTGATGTGTGCATTAGAGATTCCAAATTTGTAAGGGTGTATTGGATCTGCGAACAGCAAATCCATAATACTTACTAAAGCACTGGAAAGAAACCTAATTCAGGCTTCCTCCAGCTGTTTTAGACTAGCACACCTATCATCAGCTTTGCCCAGGATGGCCAGTGATCAAGAGAGATGTGAGCTGTACTCCAAAACATCTGCAGGACACCAATAATAATCATTTACGGTTGCATAAAAAAGGGTTAGCTAAGATAGCTCAGTGCTGGAGATGTGGCAAGTGCAATGCCTCTTTGGAACGTATGTTCGTACAGTGCTCAGTACTTAACAGGTTTGGAGAGAAAGGGCTGGACTGTGTAACTATGAGTGTGTGGGAAAAGTTAAATCTTTCAGCAGAGAATATTTTATGGAACTATATACAGTGGTACCTCAGGTTAAGAACTTAATTCGTTCCAGAGGTCCGTTCTTAACCTGAAACTGTTCTTAACCTGAAGCACCACTTTAGCTAATGGGGCCTCCTGCTGCCGCTGTGCCGCCGCTGCACGATTTCTGTTCTCATCCTGAAGCAAAGTTCTTAACCCGAGGTAATATTTCTGGGTTAGCGGAGTCTGTAACCTGAAGCGTATGTAACCCGAGGTACCACTGTACCTGCAGGATGGAAATTATTAACAGGACAATGGAAATGGATTTTCTGTACCCAAATGGTGGCCAAGAAGAGAAGACTCCCTTGAAAAGACCCTGATGCTGGGAAAGATTGAGGGCACAAAAAGAAGGGGACAACAGAGGACGAGATAGTTGGACAGTGTTCTCGAAGCTACCAACACGAATTTGACAAAACTCCAGGAGGCAATAGAAGACAGGAGTGCCTGGCATGCTCTGGTCCATGGGGTCATGAAGAGCTGAACAAGACTAAATGACTAAACAACAATGGTAGCCAAGAGACTGATACTGAGGAATTGGAAAAATTAAAGTATGATACCCTTCAGTCAGTGGACTGACGATATGACATCTCTTGCAATTTATGAACTTATGCTCACTGGCACAGACTCTGTATGGATAAATACAATCACATTTGGAATGAGTTTATACAAAATGTAGCCGGCTATTAACACATACATAAGCACTAGGACAATAACACTATACCAATTTATATAAAAGTGTATGGGAATATCGTATATTACTTCTTTCTTTCTTTCTTTTGCATATTCTCACTTTTATACATAACCTTGTTGTTGTTGTTTTTCTCCCTCTCAGTTTTCCTTTTCTTTCTGTATCACTTTTTTTTCTTTTAATTGAGATCACCTTAATAAAGTATAAATACCACTAATAGTCATGCGTAAATGTGAACAATGTTTCTAAGCTCGGTTACACATGCTAATGAAAAGCTACCAGATCAATCAATTTATGCTGTTCTTGTATGCTCTGTATGCAAAGTGGCATATCTATTTTTATATATGTATCCCTCAGCACCCGGGATCTACAGACAACTTATCTCTAAATGGAGGGATTGGGCAATTTATACTCCTTAGGGATAAGGTTCCGTCATCTGTCACTGGCGCCAAAGTTAAGACGATACATGGGAAAGATTATCGGTCAGTAATTAGGGATTTGTAATTACCTAACTAGAAACTAAACTGTATTTGATCCAGCCAGTCAAATAAAATGCAAACTCAAGGGTGTGGGTCATGTTAATTGGAAGATCCTATTGATGGAGGTCATAATCTGATGAGTAGCCTGATATCCTCTGGTCATTTCTAATGGGGCACAGTTACCCCACTGTGAGGTTGCCGTGGTTGTCACGCCAGTTTTGTAGTAATGATGAAGATAGTAGAAGAATCCACTCATCATTTGCCTCACTGAAATCAAAATCACTGTGTCTTTGAGAAAATATAATTGAGATGCAATTCAGTCTCAGAAGGTCTTCTCTCTCATACACACACACACAGAGAGAGAGAGAGAGAGAGATTCAACATGATCACCTAACATGTTTCCATATGTCTTTTCGGAAACATACAGTTATAGAATTGTTACCTGAAAAGAGTTGAGCTTATGATTGGAGTACATTTTGAACACTGGATGTAAATGAAAAGGTTTGTCTTTCTTTCTTTCTTTCTTTCTTTCTTTCTTTCTTTCTACAAACAAACAAACAAACAAAAAACAAACACATGCAAATAAAAACACTCTGCTCTGCTCTGCTCTGCCCCACCCCAACTTTAGCTGGGTGGTGCCTTCTGCTTTTAAAAGTAGTGCCTCTGTAGTCATTCCATGCTGACCTTGTTAGCGGAAGCTTTCATCACATGTTGGCTGCTCCCGTGTCAGTCTCATTAATTTGCATGACAATAGGTAGAAAAAAATTAACATCTCTCTCTCTCTCTCTCTCTCTCTCTCTCTCATGTGTGTGCATCAAAAATCAGAGTTAAAAACAAGAGATTTCTCCATCCAGATTGTGTCATTCTTACAGAGTGCTCAGAAGACACAGGTTTGTCATGCTTCTCTTTAGCAGGCACAAATTAATACTGTGAAGTGTCCTGCAAGTTTAGCCGTGTCGCACCCTTTAATATGCTTTCCCCTGTTTTACTTGTGCTTTGGCCTTGACCAACAATGAGAGAATAATTTGCCTGCGATGAGCCTGTCTGGATACTCTCGTACAGTTACGTCCTGTTGTTGACAGTGTTGTCCCCGTTGCATTGAGTGGTTGCCAAGTTTCGCGCAGCAGCGGGACCACCTTCTGCACATCATTGGGTGTCTGGCGTTATGGATGTTTGTGGCCCATTCGACCTGTAAAATTAGCCATTCCATTAAAAGAGTTCTGCCCATTTCATCGCATCCTGAAATAAATTATTCCGTATTATATCACCTTCTTAAAGACTTGCCTGTTGCTGCTGCAGAGTACTTATCAGGCTCCCTTAGTACTGATCTATAATTCAATTAGGTATGTAACAGATGAAAAGAACTTAAGTCTGTTAGTGGCAGAAGGCAGACACGCTCACTAATGAGGAATCACAAGAGCATTCTCAGACAGCGCACTGATCTGCAAGGCATTATGCATGCAGGAGTTCAATTATGCTAAGGACCTTATTCGGCTAAGAGAGTCAAGGGGTTATTCAGATATGTATCTCATAGTTACACATGGCTTATAATGGGCACTACTACACTTCATGAATACCCTGCTGTGCAATGCTTGGATGACAGTAAGGGGTTTTGTTTTATTTTGTTTTGCTTTGAGGGGTGAGGAGGTTCTCCATTGCATATCAGGGGCTGTACCTATCCCGCTGTGACTCTTGGAGTGAGAGTAAGCCACATGGAACTTAATAGGACTTGCAATGCAATCCTATACATGTCGACCAATAAATTAGTCCCACTGAGTTCCATAGGGCTTGCTCCTAGGTAAGGATGCATAGAATTGCAGCCTTATTTCCACACCCTCCAACATTTCTCTGATGAAAGTAGGAATGTTCTATTCAACAACAACAACAACAACAACAACAACAACAACAACAACACAACACCCCACCCATCTGATTGGGTTGCCCCAGACACTCTGGGTAGCTTCCAACATATATAAAAACAAAACATTAAACATTTTTAAAAATCCTTCCCTATACAGGGCTGTCTCCAGATGTCTTCTAAAGGTTGTACAGTTACTTACCTCCTTGGCTTGTAGGTCACATAACTCCATACCATTCAACATTTATCTGATGAAAATAGGGACGTCCTACCATACCCCCCAAAATAGGGACATCCTAAGGAAAAGTGGGATGTGGGATGTGGGGCTCAATTTGGCCCAATTGCTCCAATTGCCTTAAGGTCAGCCCTGTTGAGACTGTGCAGGGGTTGGACTGACAAGCCCTGCACCTTCTAGGTCCCTGGTGTCACCATTCAGAGTACAGACTCAAGGACTTGTTATGGAAATAAAGGGGGGGCACTTATTGGAAATCAGTTTTGTCACCTCTTCCCCCCCAAACCCTGAGACAATGAGCCCAGCCACCTTTTATTCACAGTCACATAAGCACTACACTACAGTATGGCCATAAACTTGTATGTTCAACCACTGAAATATACACCCAATATGTAGAAATATATAGCAATGGAGATTTATGTTACTGCTTTATGAATTAACACTGTGTTTTATGAATGGATTCTGTATTTTGTAAATTACCTAAGAGCCACCAATAGGGAGCTCTAGAATCTGACAGCTAACCAATTGGGTACTACCAAACAGCGACCCCTATTGCTGAAAGCAGGTAACCAGCAGGGAATGCTTCAGCTCAATCTTTGCACTGTAGACTGAACACCCCCTGCTGTGCAGATAATGGAGAAAGCTCATAAATTGTATCCTTTCTGGCATTCTGGCCAACTCTATTATGCTGGTGTAAACCCTGGTGCACCAGAAGCCCAGAATAGCAGCAAATAAAATCCGCTCATATGTCAGCAATGATAAGACTTGTCAACCAGTTCTTCCAAAATGTTCCTAAATGATAAAGCTCCAAAATACAGGCTAAAAGAGAGCAGGTCTGGGAAGAGTGAGGCATACAATGGGCACCACCAGTGAAAAGTCCCTGCTCTGTGTAGCTCTTGGCCTGTCAGTTGATAGAGTGCCCACTTGCCCTCCTTCTTGACATGGAATGCTCTTTATTGGAGTCTCCAGGCCCACTGGCTGCATAAAATACCTATGGCTAGAGGGACTTAAAAATCATGTGATTATACCTTTTTCATATTTCAAAGAAAGGAAAAAGTGCAAGATATTTAGATACGTTTGAGTTGAAAAACTGTGCTTCCTTTCCTATAAAGGTTAGCAAACATTTGTTATTGGTACAAATTTGAAATCGTTTCTCCATTAATTAAATCCCTCCTGCACAACCCATATACCACTAGCATTCAAGGCTAGTGACAGCTCCTGATTTCTCCAAGCAGCCTGGCCTCACCTGGGATTATTTTGGCGAGACGCGGTCTAAACTACTGAACCCTTTGGACTTGCCAATTGAAAGGTTGATGGTTCTTTGACTGGACTTACAGTCACTGTCCAGGGGTCCTTTACCTTTACCTTTACCTATTTGGGGCAGCCTCGACTTGGATGAACCCCAGATTCCTCTGAATTAGCTCCATTCAGTTTCGGATTCAGGCTGTGGCTGAATCTGGTGTGCAGCCCCAGAATTCCACTGGAACCAAGGAATTAAGTGTGTTCAAGAATGTTTCCTAACTTTTTAGTATGGGAAGAGCAAGGCATACAGTGGGCACCAAGAGTGCTCCGTGTAACTCCTGCCCTGTCAGTTGATAGAGTGCCCACTTGCCCTCCTTCTTGACATGGCATGCTCTTTATTGGAGTCTCCAGGTCCACTACAAAGACCATAAGAAGGGAGAGCAGGGACTTTGAAGTTCCCAACAGCTGTTAATCAACCAAGCAAGCACACAGGTCACCTTTGTCACAGTCAGGACGCCTATGTTCTGGCCAGGCCTGCACCCAATCTTGTTTTTGTACAATCTTGTTTGTCCTCAGTAACCAAATTGTTTGAATTAACACTAGGCTTCTCCTCTTTGGGGGCCTGGGCAGGCCGGCCTGATTCAGGTGAAGGTCAGATGCCTTGTCAATCCCAGCAGGTAAAAATATACCCACTAAAGGAGATAAAAATATACCCACTAAAGAGGAATGGGTAGTCAAATTGTGCGAGTACTTGGAGCTCGCAAAGCTGACAGATGCAATAAGAGATAAACCTAAAAAGTTGGTGAAAGAAGAATGGGAATATTTAAATAATTATTTAGGGGACAAGGGCTCAGCAAGAAAGATCTGGCTATGTTTAGAATGATACCGCATAGAGAAATGTTCCCTGATACCAAGATGAGGGATTCATTTGGAATGCAGATAGAGTTAATTGATAAGAATAATGATCTGTTGTGAGCTTGACGGAAGTGTACAATTGATGAGCTTTCCTGCTTTGGCTCATCTTCCTCCCCCCCCCCCATTTTTCTTTTTTCTTTTATCTTTCCCATAGTTGCTTATGTTCTGTGTCATGTACTTCGATATTTTTTGTAGGTTTTTTTCATCACTTTCAAGGAATTTTCCTTTGTAATTTATGGTTGTGTATATTTATATGTACCTGTTTAAGCAAAATAAAAGCTATTTAAAAAAAATCTTGTTTTTGTACAATCTTGTTTGTCCTCAGTAACCAAATTCTTTGAATTAACACTAGGCTTCTCCTCTTTGGGGGCCTGGGCAGGCCGGCCTGATTCAGGTGAGGGTCAGATGCCTTGTCAATCCCAGCAGGTATAAAAGAGGATGACGCAGCCTGCCCAGGCCCCCAAAGAGGAGAAGCCTAGTGTTAATTCAAAGAATTTGTAACCAAGAAGGGAATCCACCACATTCGTTCCGCTCCTTTTCACCTGGCCACTAACAACCAAGCTGAACGCATGGTCCATACTACCAAAGATGCGCTTAGGTGCATAGTGCATGGAGACTGGACAGTTAGCGGAGTTCTTATTGGTCCAACACATCACCCCAAGCACAGTGACCGGCCAGAGCCCGGCGGAGTTGCTTATGGGGAGGAGGCTCACTACCCTCCTTGATTGTATGCACCCCGACCAGGCTCTTGAGCAACGGCCATCTACTGTGGTGTGGGGGGCTCCAAGAGGGTTCTCCCCGGGGGACACTGTACGTCTGAAACTATGGGCCCAGACAGGGTTGGGTCCCTGGTATCATTGCCCGCTGTACAGGTCCGGTTTCCTATGAGGTAGGGTTGGAGGGGGGACTGGTTTGCAAGGGACACCTTGACCAGATCAGAGCCAGGGTACCTCCAAACATGGAGCTTCAAGTGGAACCAGAGGACAGAGAAATGGGTACTATAGGAGATTCTGTGCCCAGGCCAGAGTGGGAACCAGACGGGTTGCCGGAGGCCTGGGCAGGCCGGGTCGTCCTCTTTTATGCCTGCTGGGATTGACAAGGCATCTGACCCTCGCCTGAATCTCATCGTTCTCCTGTAGCTGCCTCTGATTGGTTATCATTTAACTCTTGGGCAAATTAATTAGCATCACACATTATGTGCATGGAAGTTGTCGAACCAATTAATCAACTAGAAGGATTACTGTTAATAGCATCAGTTTTCCTATAACTTGATTATGCTGGATAATTTTGATGAACTGCAAAAGCATTTTTAGTTTGCTTTCTGTTGCCACCCTGGAACTTTTCTTTATTAGTGCCACTTTGTTTTGTACGATTCCTTGCAAATGAAGGAAAACAACTTTTCTGGTTGTATATGTTGATAATATAATTTTGGTTACTGAGGACAAACAAGATTGTACAAAAACAAGATTGGGTGCAGGCCTGGCCAGAACATAGGCGTCCTGACCGTGACAAAGGTGACCTGTGTGCTTGCTTGGTTGATTAACAGCTGTTGGTAACTTCAAGATCCCTGCTCTCCCTTCTTACGGTCTTTGTAGTGGACCTGGAGACTCCAATAAAGAGCATTCCATGTCAAGAAGGAGGGCAAGTGGGCACTCTATCAACTGACAGGGCAGGAGTTACACGAAGCAGAGCCTTTTCACTGGTGGTGCCCATTGTATGCCTCGCTCTTCCCATACCTGCTCTCTGGGATCGACGTTCCCAATTTTCCGCAGCAGGAACAGCTACTCCTCATACCCAACATTGGAAACGGAGTGGAAGAATGTCCAATTCATTTTATCAAATGTATTCATTGGCTATGTGGATGTGGAATATGTCCCCCCACCCCACCCCACCAATATGCATTTTCTCTTGGCAAACAGCAACCTCTCAACTTGCCAATGTAAATGTAGCTGCAGTGAACTCAGAGAATTAGTCATAACTACCAGGACAAGAATAAAGAAAGGCCTCTCTACCTATATGCAAGGCAACATGGAGGAACAACAGTTGGCTTTATCTTATTTAAGGAGGGCAGACAAAAGGATCATTGCTTACTAATACCATTAAGGGGGAAAATATGTAAGTATTTGATTACAAACCTCAATGGGATGTTGTTTAAAATAGGAGCTGAGCGGCGACAGAAGCCTATGTGAGTCATCTGGTATAATTATGATTTTTCCAGCCTCCCCATCTTCTCCCCCTTTTTTCAGTGGGAGGACTGACAGTACAGTGCATGAGTGTGAAAATCCAGGGGTGTCTACATCATGTACCAAAATGCAAGGGCCTCTGCTTAACGTCTCCGTCTCTTGTGACCAGTCCCCATGCCCATTATGTTAGGAAGTGACGACGCTATCTAGAGTTAGGAAACATTCTTGAACACACTTAATTCCTTGGTTCCAGTGGAATTCTGGGGCTGCACACCAGATTCAGCCACAGCCTGAATCCGAAACTGAATGGAGCCAATTCAGAGGAATATGGGGTTCATCCAAGTCGAGGCTGCCCCAAATAGGTAAAGGTAAAGGGCCCCTGGACAGTTACTGTAAGTCCAGTCAAAGGTGACTATGGGGTGTGGGGCTCATCTCGCTTTTCAGGCCGAGGGAGCCAGCATTTGTCCACAGACAGCTTTATGGGTCATGTGGCTGGCATGACTAAACTGCTTCAGGCTCAACGGAACACTGTGACGGAAGCCAGAGTGCACAGAAATGCTGTTTACCTTCCCGCCGCAGCAGTACTTATTTATCTACTCGCACTGGTATGCTTTTGAGCTGCTAGGTTGGCAGGAGCTGGGACAGAGCAACAGGAGTTCAACCCATTGTGCGGATTTGAACCATCAACCTTTTGATTGGCAAGTCCAAGGGGTTCAGTGGTTTAGACCACAGGGCCCCCCGCGTCCCGCCAAAATAATCCCAGGTGAGGCTAGGCTGCTTGGAGAAATCAGGAGCTGTCACTAGCCTTGAATGCTAGTGATATATGGGTTGTGCAGGAGTCATTTCATTAATGGAGAAACATTTTCAAATTTGTACCAATAACAAATGTTTGCTAACCTTTATAGGAAAGGAATATTTTATAGGAAATAGATATTTTATGCAGCCTAAATAGCGTTGCTTAATTTATTTAATAATTTATTTAACATATTGCTAATATGCTCTTCTGATAGGGACTCTGTGGATTAAACCACAGAGCCTAGGACTTGCCGATCAGAAGGTCGGTGGTTCAAATCCCCGCTACGGGGTGAGCTCCCGTTGTTCGGTCCCTGCTCCTGCCAACCTAGCAGTTCGAAAGCCCATCAAAGTGCAAGTAGATAAATAGGTACCGCTCCGGCGGGAAGGTAAATGGCGTTTCTGTGCGCTGCTCTGGTTCGCCAGAAGCGGCTTAGCCATGCTGGCCACATGACCCGGAAGCTGCACGCCGGCTCCCTTGGCCAATAAAGCGAGATGAGCGCCGCAACCCCAGAGTTGGTCACCACTGGACCTAATGGTCAGGGGTCCCTTTACCTTTAATATGCTCTTCATTGTAATGTGAAACACAGTTATAAAGAGAAAGATAAAAGAAGCAGATAAAATAATATCAATAACGATCCAAGTGTGGTCAGGCAGTCCAGCCGCCCTCCATGAGAACCTGCTGCAAGAGTTGTGTTTTCAGTCGGCAAATTGTGTTGTCCTTGGTGCTGAAACTGCTTGTGAGGAGCTTCCTTTTGGACGCAGGTATGATACATTTCCAAAACAATGTTGGAACTGCTTCTCAGAGGTGTAGGAAGATCAGGTGGTACCCGGTGTGGAAAATTTCTTGTCACCCCCCCCATTGATTCCTCCTCCCCCCTGCAAAAATGGTTTTGCGTTTTTTCATATTTTCTTACAAAGGAATGTGGGTTCTGGGCCTCTGATAACAAGTTGGTGACTGTGGACAGATACTTAAAACTACAGGATGGATTGTGTTTTGGCTTGTGTTGTTTTATTTATATTTATTGTTTATTTATTTAATAAAATTTATTTTTTTAAAAACCTGCAAAATGGTTTACCAAAACAAAAAGGATATCAGTTAATATCTTGACCCTGTTTGAATGAACTGAAATTTCAGCCTTCACGACATAGGAAGGCCAAGTAAACAGTTATTTTCGTGGAGGAGGGTCAAGATATTAACTGATATGCATGAAATTTCATATATAGCGATATAATCTCTAGTGTAGTAAGGTAAGACCTTTGGAGCAGGCATTTTTTTAAAAAAGTTTTTTATGAACCACCCTAGTAGGGCAGTAATTGTTCCTTGATGATTTGTTACCCCGCCTCCATGATGGCGCCTGGGTCAACCAGAATGATCCCAGAATGTCCCACTTTTCCTTAGGACGTCCCTGTTTTCATCAGAGAAATGTTGGGGGGTATGAAATAGAATGCCTCTATTTTCATCAGAGAAATGTCAGGGGGTATGGAATAGAATGCCCCTATTTTCATCAGAGAAATGTTGGGGGGTATGGAATAGGACGTCCCTATTTTCATTGGAGAAATGTTGGGGGGTATGCCAAGGCCTGACTCTCTTTTACATTTCTGCTGGACCAGCAGGAACATAAAACAGGAGCCAAGCCCTGACAACAGCATGGCATGGCTAGCTAAAGCTTACCCACCTCCTTCTGCTTATTTGGAAATGGTGGGCAGTTGTAGAAAGGCCTGCCCCAGAAGAAGAAAGTGAGAAGCTGTGGGCCATGGGATGGGACACAAACCTACAGGTCACCAAAAGAAAAAAAAGTCTGCACGAGACAGGAAGGGGAGAAACACTTCCTTTTCGTGTGTTTCCCCTTCCTGTCATCACTGCCCCTGCAACCAAGAGAAGGAAGACTCTGGGGATGCAGCAAGAACCTACAGAAGAGAACCTACAGAATTTTGCATGCTCCAGCAAAATTTGCACATCCAGCACTGGGAGTGGAATGGGTTCTCCAACCCTGTTCTATAGCATCTTATTGTGACAATAAAATGAGAGAAAGTCTGAGATTCAAAGCAGATTTAGGCATGAGAGAGAGAGGGGGAAGTGCTCATGAGAGGTGAAAAAGGGGTAAAGGACCCCTGGACTGTTAAGTCCAGTCAAAGGCAACTACAATGGTACCTCGGGTTACATACGCTTCAGGTTACATATGCTTCAGGTTACAGACTCCGCTAACCCAGAAATAGTGCTTCAGGTTAAGAACTTTGCTTCAGGATGAGAACAGAAATCGTGCTCTGGCAGTGCAGCAGCAGCAGGAGGCCCCATTAGCTAAAGTGGTGCTTCAGGTTAAGAACAGTTTCAGGTTACGGTAAGTACAGACCTCCGGAACGAATTAAGTACTTAACCCGAGGTACCACTGTATGGGGTTTTGGCGCTCATCTCACTTTCAGGCCGAGGGAGCCGGCATTTGTCCACAGACAGCTTTCCAGGTCATGTGGCCAGCATGACTAAACCGCTTCTGACGCAACGGGAGTTCACCCCAACACACAGATTCGAACCGCCGACCTTCCGATCAGGAAGCCCAAGAGACCTGGTGATTTAGACCACAGCGCCACTCACTCCCCTTGCTCATGACAGGCTTTTAGTGAAAAATGTGGTAATAATGAGAGGAATCTGGTCTGAAGTCAGTATGTTGCCATAAAAATTAAGAATGTTTATAATTATGCATGTGCTTGTTTTTGGTTATTTTTTAAATCACGCCCTGGTCTCAATCAGCTAGCAAATTAAGTTTTGCTCCCAGTCACCCTTCCAAGCACCCTCGTCGTGCTTTACAACTTTCATTCCCCACCAAATGTACACAGTGTGGCACTTTGAAATATTAATAGCAGAGATTAGCCAGGCTGAACACTCTGTCTCGATACAGATTTTTCTTTTATGAAAATCTCTGAACTCATTATGAGTCCCTTTCTTATGAGCTGCAGCATAATTTGCTCAGCCAGATGTAATTTCTTAATTTTTTTGTTGCTGCGAATGTTGCTTTTTTTCAGAACCTCCATGTCCTACACACGGATATCTCATTCTCTTTTGTTTTCTTTTGGCCATTTTTCAGAAATGGTGTAGAAAACCCATAAAACCCTCAGAATGGTGCCTCCTGAGCATTCATCTCCATGTACGAGGATTCAGTTAATAGTAGCATGTAGTAGCTCCTTTGAAGTTGCCTTTATACTGGCACTGTATTGTATTAAAGTCCACAATCTGGACCGACACAACATCAAGGGCCTCAGCTGGACTTTTAATAAGGCAGGAAGTTCAGCATTAAGGCCTTTGCCTTTGCCTTTCTGTTTGGGGACAAATTAAAAAGGCCGGATAAGTCCAATGCCACATGTCCTCAAGCACATCAGAAAGTGCCAAGATTTCCTTTGACCTGATCAGCAAAAGTGGCTCTGATTTTAGAGACATTCCTTTAAAATGTTGGGGACTCGCCACAGGTTTACATGATGGCCCTCAATAAATCCATTTGAATCCAGTAACAGAAAGTGTACAGTGGTGCCTCGCAAGACGAAATTAATCCGTTCCGCGAGAGTCTTCGTCTAGCGGTTTTTTCGTCTTGCGAAGCAACCCTATTAGCGGCTTAACGGATTAGCGCTATTAGCGGTTTAGCGGCTATTAAAGGCTTAAAGGCTTAGGGGATTAGCTGCTAAAAGGCTATTAAAGGCTATTAAAGGCTTAGCAGATTAGATAAAGGGGGGGGGGAGCGAAAAAAAAATCTCTAGACTCGCAAGACATTTTCGTCTTGCGAAGCAAGCCCATAGGGAAATTCGTCCTGCGAAGCAACTCAAAAACGGAAAACCCTTTCGTCTAGCGGGTTTTCCGTCTTGCGAGGCATTCGTCTTGCGGGGCACCACTGTATTTGTGATGGAGGGTGCTTACCATACCTTCCTGCAGGTGGGTCACTGCCATACCCTTCAGCATTTCTCTGATGAAAATAGGGACGTCCTATTTCATCACCATCATCATCATCATCATTTACACCCCTCCTCTGACTGGGTTGCCCCAGATATTTTGGGCAGCTTCCAACATATATAAAAACATAATAAAATATTAAACACTTCCCTATACAGTGGTACCTCGGGTTAAGTACCGTATTTTTTGCACCATAACACTCACTTTTTTCCTCCTAGAAAGTAAGGGGAAATGTCTGTGCGTGTTATGGAGGGAATGCCTATGGGTGGTGGTGGGGATCTGCTGCAGTTGTGAGCAGAGGATCCATGGTTCCCCTTCCTTCCCTCCTCCGTGGCTCGCTTTGAAACAGCAAAGCGGGAGAAGAGCCGCTGAGTGGGGAGGAGAGAGGGACAGAGAGCCTGCTTCTTTAAAGGAGCAAAGCGGGAGAGGAGAGGAGCCACTTACACGAGTGTAAGCAGCTCCTGTCCGGTTGGTTCCTTTAAAGCAAGCAGACTCTCTGTCTCTCTCTCCTCCCCACTCAGCTCGCTACATAGCAGCAAAGTTTTTCAGCTCGCTAAGCCGGGGATGAGCGGGGAGGAGGGAGAAAAGCAGAGCCTGCTTGCTTTAAAGGAGCAAAGTGGGAGAGGAGAGGAGCCTTCTCCCCTTATACCCCTCTTCTTCATTATTAGCAGCATCCTTCTCCATCCACCCCACGCATGCGTCTTCTCCCCTTAAACCCCTATTCTGCATTATTAGTAACATCCTTCTCCACCCACCCCACGCATACTCCTTGTCCCTTGAGTGCTTTTCCTTCCCTCCTCACTTAAAACGTGGTTACAAAGCATGGATCCACATGGATCCTCAGGATTTTTGCACTGGGTCACCCCAAATTCACCATCAGATCACATAGCATGTCCATGGCTACATCTTGCCCCCCAAAAATCATGCACCCACTGTTGCCTGGGGCCGCAGTGGTGCAAAAACGTGGTTACAAAGCATGGATCCACATGGATCCTCAGGATTTTTGCATTGGACTACTCCAAACTCACTGTCAGATCACATGTCTGTGGCCACAGCATGAACCACAAAACTCATACATCCACTGTTTCATTTAGAATATTTTTTTTCTTGTTTTCCTCCTCTAAAAACTACGTGCGTGTTATGGTCGGGTGCGTGTTATAGAGCGTAAAATACGGCACTTAATTTGTTCTGGAGGTCCGTTCTTAACCTGAAACGGTTCTTAACCTGAAGCACCACTTTAGCTAATGGGGCCTCCTGCTGTTGCTACGCCGCTGCTGTGCGATTTCTGTTCTCATCCTGAAGCAAAGTTCTTAACCTGAGGTACTATTTCTGGGTTAGCGGAGTCTGTAACCTGAAGCGTATGTAACCCGAGGTACCACTGTACCTTCAGATGTTTACTAAAGGTTACTTATCTCCTTGGCTCGGGGGTCACATAACTCTATACCCTCCAACATTTCACTGATGAAATAGGGACATCCTAGCATGCCCTCCAACATTTCTTCGATGAAAATAGGAGTGTCCTAAGGAAAAGCGGGACATTCCAGGATCAAATCAGAAACCAGGACGGCTTCTGTAAAACCAGAACTGTCCCTGAAAAACAGGGACACTTGGAAGGTCTGCACTGCTGCATACCAGGAAGGAGAATGGAAGGGGAAAGGTGTTAAGACCACCAGCACTGTGCAAATGTGCTTGCTGAGCCAAAGCAGGGCTTCTGCCAATGTGTTTGCACAGCGCTGACCCTCCCAATACCTTGTTCCTCCCTCTTAGCAGCAGTGACCCACTTGCCAGGAGATGCAACTTCACCCTACTTTCGGCTACTGAATCAAATTAAGAATTATTGTTGCAGCTTGGCACTAGGGATCATAACTCTTGGAGGGGATTCTCAGCTGCTTGTTTTCCCAAAAGCATTCAGCTTTTATGATTCAACACAGCCTCATTTATAACCAGGTGGAGCTGGTTAAAAGGTAGTATTTGGCACAAGGCCTGTAAAACCCAGTCAGCAAAACTATGACTATGCTTCTTGTGTCCCCACACCCCCCTTGTGACATGGATCTTTGTAAATACTAATGCCAGATGTAGGCCTAGGCTGCTGACAGATGTCCCCAATAATTATATTGTTGCATCTTTACTGAATTTAGCATGATACTGGCATATGGCAGTGTTGCTACAATACGAGGGCATGGAGCCAACACTGTCATTTCCTGTTTACAAAGTAATATGTTTGGGAGCCAATGGTGATTGGAAAAGGCTGGAATCTTTTGATGAGTGCCCACGGACAATGCTTTCAAACGGGAGCCGAGGCATGTAAATTCGCAGATTAAATGCTCAGTTTTAATTAATCAATTAATTAATTGAAGGCTCAGGATGAACAGATGAGCAGATAGGATTTGGGATGGTTGAGACTGAGTCAATTCCTTCTCTCCACTCCCCCCCCCATAATGCTCACAGAACTCATACCACAAGGGGGTCTTTCCTTCATCCCCTTCTTGCTATTTGAAATCTTGCTATTTTTCTCACCATGTTAGTCTTGTGTCTTCATCATCTTCGCCCGATGCAAATTCTCACTATGATATCTTTTCATTATAATAGATTTAAACTCAAATTTAGCGGTGGGATGGGTTTACACACTGCTATTTTTCCAGAAAAAGAGGTGCCGGGACTCACAGTGATTGCCTCCCTCATTCTCTTAGAATGGCAATGGCGCCCGCCTGATTTCCAGCAAGTTCCGGCTGAAAAAAAAAGCCATGGGTTTACACAATTTCAGTGCTGATCACTGAAAATGAATGCTATACATATAATAACGAAAGCAACTTTTTATAATGTTATATCCCTGTAAAATTCCCTACAAATTTGAGTAACATAAGAACAACCGTACATATTGTGGTTGCTACACAAAATCTGTCTTGAGTCGCTCCTCACAGTCCTATGTAGTGGTAGGTCACAAATGCACAGTAGTTTGCCAAACATTTTGCTACATCCACAGCAGTGTGAGATTCCTGGGGTTCCAGGCGTGCTTTACCCAGGGTCTGTGTTTCCTTTTGGAAAACGAGGCACAGCGGAGATGGTGGTGTCTTTATGATATACGGTTTATTTACATATCTTTTTTTTCATCTGACACTGTGATGGAGAGGTTCATGGCATTACACTCCATGAGGGCCTTGCCATTCCTCTGCCTGTTACCTCAACCACTGGGCTATGGGAAGGCAGTACAATGTCTGCCGGGGTAGGGGAGGTGTCAAACGTTGCTGAGGGCCACCCCAAAAAAGGCCCTCACACTTCCCTCACGCTGCATTTTGGGCTGCCCTGCTTCAGACTCTCATAATTTCAGTCAACACATTGGGGGATTATAAAATGGCCACCAAATTAAGGGGATGGAAGCTGAGGAACTGTTCAGAAGTGCTACTGCCTACTTGAGTGAGAGCTCTGGCAGGGACAGAGCAAGTGAGCCCGGGGGGGGGGGGGCAAAGCCCTACATCCATTGCACTGAGAAAGCCTGGTGTGCATGTCATCACTTGACATATTGCCCATCTTCTACGGCAAACCCTCCAACATTTCTAGGATGAAAATTGGGATGTCCAGTGCTATTTTTCTAGGGAAAGAGGTGCTGGAACTGAGTTCCAGTGAGTTCCGGCTGGAAAAATGCCCCAGTAACGTCCTATTCTATACCCTCCAAAATTTCTCCAATGAAAACAGGGATGTCCTAAGGAAAAGCAGGATGCTCTGGGATCAAATCAGAAACTTGAACAGCTTCTGTCCCTGGAAAATAGGGCCACTTAAAGGGTCTGCCACTGCTGACTGCCAAAGCTGTGAGGCCAGGCAGAGGGAGGGGGTGTGCCAAATAACATTTAGTTATGAGGAAGAGTGGAAAGGTGATATGTAACAGCAGCATCAGCCGTGTCTAGTTGAGCCCTCAGTCTACCACTTGAAAAAATGATCCCCCTGAAGTAACTGAGATCAGCAGCATGTGCTCTGTACCCAAGCATGTCTTCTATAAAGGTAAAGGGTAAAGGGGCTCCTGACCATTAGGTCCAGTCGTGGCCGACTCTGGGATTGTGGCGCTCATCTCGCTTTATTGGCCGAGGGAGTCGGCGTACAGCTTCCGGGTCATGACTAAGTCGCTTCTGGCAAACCAGAGCAGCGCACGGAAATGTCATTTACCTTCCCGCTGTAGCGGTACCTATTTACCTACTTGCACTTTGCTGTGCTTTCGAACTGCTAGGTTGGCAGGAGCAGGGACCGAGCAACAGGAGCTCACCCCGTCGCAGGGATTCGAACCGCCGACCTTCTGATTGGCAAGTCCTAGGCTCTGTGGTTTAACCCACAGCGCCACCCGCGTCCCTATGTCTTCTATATATTATCTTTATTTCGATAACATTTTATTATGTCCACACATTTTCAACGTTCATGTCATTTGTAATTTCTTAAGCGTATTTTGTTCTATGCAGACCACTTAGAGGCAGTTGTTTTCTTAATGAGTGCTTTATAAATCTTGTTAAAGAAGGAAAGGTGCTCTACTTCCACGCATAGTCATGAATCATCCTATGAGATAACACTGAAGTGTTGTGTAGGCACAAAACCTACTACTCCAAAATGTCTTGTGGCAGTGCATGTGAAAGGGTTTTATTCCTTCGAGTGCATACACCCGTCTTCTTCAGATAACTCTTGGAACTGGAAGAGTAAAGCAATTCTTGCTATGTGCAACCCATATAAAGCAGTTGTTGTTGTTGTTGTTTTGCTGGAAAAAGCCATTAACCTCTGTTAGTTTTCATATTGCACTTGCATTGTAAATGCATTTCACCAGGATAAATGGTGTTTGGGAAAGGAGTTGTTGGCAGTTGGCAGTTGGTTGGTTATTCTGTCAGTTGATTCTTTGACTGAGAATGTGGTGGTGACTTCATGCAGATGCCATCCAGAGATGTTTGTGAGGACAGGCAAACGATAGATTAATAACTTATGCACTGCTACATTTTGAAAGCAAAAGGACTAAACCCTCTCTTGGGCTCAAGAGAAAGAAATGCAACACACTCATCCATATATATCTATCATACTTGTTGTTCAGTTGTTGCCAACTTGGCAAGTAAATATTTAAGGCAGGGTTGCCATACGTCTGAAATTTCTAGGACATGTCTGGTATTTAGTGTCTGGGCAAGGGGGTGGGGATTTTGGAAAATTTGTAAAATGTCCAGGACGTTGATTGCCTAAAAAAAGCTCAACATGTGGTGGAGCAGGGAAGGGGATTGAAAACCAAAGAAGAACAGTATGGAAAGGGACCTGCATCCCCACTGCCACAAAGGAATTCTTTTTTGGACCAGGGGCATGAAATAGTTTTTAACTCAAGGACCATGATACCTCATTGGTAGCCTTCTGGAGGGTGGATGGGGCAGAGGCAAAAGTGGGTGGAACAATGGGTGCATGTGACTCTGACCTTTGCACACTAGGCCTAATGGGAGGTTTAAAGGTAAAGGTAAAGGTACCCCTGACCATTAGGTCCAGTCGTGGCTGACTCTGGGGTTGCAGAGCTCATCTCGCTTTACTGGCCGAGGGAGCCGGCGTAACAGCTTCCGGGTCATGTGGCCAGCATGACTAAGCCGCTTCTGGCGAACCAGAGCAGCGCATGGAAATGCCGTTTACCTTCCCGCTGGAGCGGTACCTATTTATCTACTTGCACTTTGACATGCTTTCGAACTGCTAGGTTGGCAGGAGCAGGGACCGAGCAACGGGAGCTCACCCCATCGCAGGGATTCAAACCGCCAACCTTCTGATCGGCAAGTCCTAGGCTCTGTGGTTTAACCCACAGCACCACCCGCGTCCCAGTTGGAGGTTTACACACACAAACAAACACACAAGCACACACACCACTCCATTCAGGAAAGCAAGAGGTGTAATCACATTTCAGGGACGCATGCCAGCCAAGTACTCAAGGAGGCTGCAGGGCAGGGACCAGTGAGAGATGTGACCTGGGGAGAGGCCTGAGGCCTGAAAGGTCACATTTTAAGCCCAGACCTAAGACCTTGTTTGAAATGCTTGTGTTATTAAAGTCTCTTTGTGGGACAAAGCGAGAAGATACTGCAGTGGCTCACAGGACAAACAGGGAGGTTTCATTTGACTGAGATATCAACTGAAAACGCAAATGCACTCATTATTAAATGAACAGGATTCTTCTTTTTAAAAAACAACCCCCCCAAAAAAGAAAACCCCTGTATGTTTAAAAACTATGTAGTCATAGTACAGTGACTAAAACTGAATTAAACTTAGTCTCCTCCTGAGTTTTCAGGTCTAGAATGACATGAAGCTTCTATTAATCCCTCAACATCATCTTTGACTGTTCTAATTAGGTCATTCCTAGCTGAAGTGCTTAAGCTGCATTGTTCTTGCTTGGGCCGTGTGTGTGTGTGTGTGTGTGTGTGTGTGTGTGTGTGAAATTTAACAAACAAACAAAATTTAAAAACCTCCTAGCCTCAAATGAAGCACTCCTCCTTTGCCATTCTGATTCTTGCAAACTGTCTGGGCTGTAATTGAGAGAATTGCTTTGGTTACGGGGTTGTCCTAGGGCTGTTACAGGTCTTTGAACAGTTGGCTCAGTTCATTTTGCTGCCTGAGACAAAGGACAAGATGGTGGCCCCTCCCATGCCATGTACAGAAGCCGATTGGACAGGCAACTGAATGGGGCCTTCCACTGCATCCGAGGAAATCATGTTTGTTTAGGGGGGAAAGGACAATTATGAGGTTGGGCCAATTTTTCAACAGGAGCAAACTCATTCCTAGAGCCTCTTCAGAGAAAATGGAGCAGGGGACAAGTTCATTATGCCTCATGACACATTCGGCTTTAAGCTGCAACAGAGAGAGCAGAAATGTGTGTGAGTGTGTGTTGTTCACATATATCAGTAGCAATAAGCAAATAATTTCACTTTTTCATTTTGATTGCTCTTGCACTTTGCTGTAACTGCAAATCTTCAAATCCTCAGATTGATGTTTGTTCGGATTCAACAGTAAACAGCAAATTTTCCCAGTGAAAGTGGAAGGAGAAGGGGGAAAACCTCCCTGACCATGTCTAAGAATCATGGGTCAAGCAGAATAATTCGTGGATGAGCCTGTGGAGATTTCAGCCAGTTGTATATTTCATTCATATCTCTATCTATCTATTTGTCTATCTATCTATCTGTCTGTCTGTCTGTCTATCTATGGTGATTATTTGTGATGACTATTCACCTGAGACTAATCTCACTATCATACACCAGAGATCTGCGGATGCCAAGATGTGACACTGAATCAAATCAAACAAGGTTCTTTTAAAACATTAAAAAACCCACCCTGACAACAGGAAGGATTTTGATCTGTGAGCTTATAGGACAAACGTAAAGGGTCCTGGGACTCAAGCCATAAGGAGCTGCAATTTATCTAAAACACATTTCCTGCCTTTTAAAGGTATTAATATTTAGCCTACCCAAGTGACTCCAGTGACTGTATATTTAACAATTCAATTAGTCATTCCCAAGTGAAGCATGCTAATTGATTACTTTGCAGCATCCAGTGGTGATAAAGTTAATGGATGTTTTTGTCGAGTAAATTGGCTTCCGCTCTTAATATCACTTTCTTGATATCTCAACCTCCTAGTAAGTAGCAGGGCATATTTCTATAAATAGACCAATGGCTAGCAAAAAGAAAAACCCAACGTGCCAAGGATTTCCTGACAATGCAGGTTTCAATTCCCCTCTAATCTTTGCAAATGTACACCTCTTGAGCCAAAATTATACAATGGGAAATGGGAATTAAGAGACTGGGCAGAAAGCACAGAAATAGAAACGCATAAAAATCACCCCAGATAAACATCAGGGCTTTTCATTTTGGGAAACTCATTTTCTGCAAAGTGACTTATATGGATATATTCCAGTTTATGTGCTGCCAACAGTGGATGTGTCCTTCATTCTGTTGGGAAATAACTGAGGGAAGCTTGTTAATCCCAAAGTCCCATGTGTGTAGCAAACTGCAAAAAGAAAAAATGGATGACTATTTGAATTCAAGAAGCATGGCTTGACTCACTCTCTAGCCAAAAGTGCCCCCAACAGAGTTTTAAAAAGAAATATGTGCAGTATTTGCAAAGTGCAGGAAATACAGGTTGTTAGACTTTAAACATCCGAGTGTTAAGTGTTCCCAGCTGTGTTCCCCACACCTCTACCCCTCTCAGAGTAAATAGACCACAACTTTAAGTAAGTTTAAATGCTTTACTTACAGAAATCAGAGTTCTCACACATGCATTGTCCAATGCAGAGAAACAACACAGGGAATGTATTCTTGGTTACAAAATACTGAAGTTAGTCTTAAACAGCCTCAAACGTCTGTTCAGTTACATAGTTGAAAGTGAAGAGAGAGAAAGAGAGAACAGGAAAAGAAAGCTTTTCTTCCTCCCTCTCCAATTCGAGTCTTCTCTAGCAGTTAAGAACTCTGTGATCCCTAACCCATTACTCACTGGCAATTCTGCACAATTGAGGTGTGCACATTTTGGACAGGTGTCGCACGTGTGCAGATTACAGCACCATTGACTGTTCAGTAGTGCTGCAAATGCAGGGAAACAAATCAGGTAATGCGCATCAGGGAAAGACATCCCCACCACCACCGTCACCGCCTTCTGGTGTGTGAAATGTGACTTGAAATGCAGTGGGGGGGAAACCTCTCTGCATTTCAAGCCACTAATGTGTACATAGCTTCAGTGGTCTCGTTCACACACATGGTGCTGTGGTCTAAACCACTGAGTCTCTTGGATTTGCTGATTGGAAGGTCAGTGGTTCGAATCCCTGCAATGGGGTGAGCTCCCGTTGCTCTGTCCCAGCTTCTGCCTCCCTAGTAGTTTGAAAGCATACCAGTGCGAGTAGATAAATAGGTACTGCTGTGGCAGGAAGGTAAATGGCGTTTCCGTGCACTCTGCTGGCAGGTGAATCTGGCTAGGTAGTTTTCTATGCTCCTATGTTGTCTTCCAACTCTTCCTTTTGCCTTCCAGATTTATAGCCAGTTCCACATGCACTATAAGATATCTCCCCCCCCCCCGCCGCCCCAGGTCTTGAAAATAAATATTGCAACTCTAGAGACAGTGGCACAGAAAGTGATAAACCAATTCCTAAAACCACGAAGAAGGAGTAGGGGGAATTTAGTTCCTCGTTTATTTTGCTCACTTTTGAGGTTTCTTTTATATTATTATTGCTTTATGTTTAAACTAAACTAT